ACCTACATCGTCCACCTGGGACGACTCGGGAACTCAACTCCTACCCCGGGCAGCTCACCCATCCCCCTATGCCCAGGGGAAAGGTTTCAAGCCGTTTGACAGCAGATGCAAGCTGTCAAAACGGCTTTTACGCAGAAACAGGCGGGAGGCAGCAACAGCTGCGTCCAACGGAGTAGCCTGCCACCGGAAGTCTCCATATTCTATTATTAAATGTATACATTTCTTTTGTTATGTTGACAGCCTATTTATCCTTGCGGGATTTTTTTTCTCTTAACTGTATTTTATAGTTAATATTTTAGAGGTTTAACTTCTGGCTTAGAAATTATGTTTTTTTAAAATATATCTATTTTCCTTCATCCCTATGCAGGTTGAAGAAGTTAAAAAGCACCAGCACTGTTTAGCATTTAGCTCATCTGGACCTCAAAGTCAGAGTTACTACATCTGCTTTGACACTTTTACTGAGTACTTGCGGTGGCTTCGGCAAGCTTCAAAGGTAATATTTTTGTAGTTATTCAGATCACTGGTATTTATTATACCCTGCCTTTATTATTATTATTATTTTAAACAACTCAAAGCAAGGAACACATCTACCACTCCTTCCTCCTCCTGTTTTTTCTGCAACAACAACCCCGTGAGGTGAGTTGAAATGAGAGAGAGGGACTGGCCCAAGGTCATCCAGCTGGCTTTCATGCCTAAGGGGGGGACTAGAACTCATGGTTTGTTTGTGAAGAAACCAGGATGAGTGACAGAGTTGGCATGGAAGGCAATCCTCTTTTAAGATTGCCTAACATAATTAGACTCTTGGTATATATCAAAGGTGGAAACTGAGAAACAATAGTTTAAAAAAAAAGCTGCTTAATTAAATACGTGGCAAAGGACATTTTAGCTTACCACTTGTAGTGTTATAAATATGACAAATAATCATATAAGTATTATACTATACCAGCCAATTTTAGCAATTTATATGATTCGTCATGACTAATATCATGTAGCTGTGTGTGTGTGTGTGTCTGTGTCTGTGTATATATATACATATACATATATGTATGTATGTGTATATTACAAGACAATAAGTAACACTGATCACCAAGAGAGTAATTAAAAGTGTTTAAAAGCGTCTAAAAGCATTAAAAGCATTTAAAAACATTTAATAAAATGCAAAGTAACCGAGCTTTCGTCGGGTGCTCCCGACATCATGAGGGTCCAAAAAAGGCGGAACCTGGGAGGAACTTATATGCAGCCTCTGAGTGCCTGCATCTGGCTACGCGAACGTGTAACTCGTTTGCTAATAAGGGCGGGTTTCCAAATGGCTGGTAGGCGGGAGGTATTTGGAAACCCACCCTTATTAGCAAACGAGTCCCTAACACAAAAAATGACACCAGACCCACACTCACAAATACCACACATGATGTCACAACCATACATCCACACAAAAAACAAACCCAAAGGGTGTGTCTACTACTCTATGTTGGTGTTTAATATTAGGTAAGGTGTCGATGTAGTAATTGGTGAAATTTGGGGGGGTAAGGTCTGTACAATGGACATCCTAACATCCACCATAAAGAAATGACACGACCTCAAACTCGAGACCAGGCAGCAACAAGGAATCTCACCATCTCATATCAAACCAATCTAACCCCAAAAAAAACCCCTCCCAAACAGAACACTCCCCCAGCCTATCAGAGCACAGCTAACCCCCCATCCTATCAGAGCGCAGCCAAGTTCCTTAACCAATCAGAGCACACGTCCACCCATTCAGAACACGACCAAGTCCCCGCCCCCTCAGTTCAAACTCCACTGGCAGTTAAAAGAAAGAAACAGCAGACATTTCATATTACTCTGAGAAGCACAAAGCTAAAAGCACAAGCCTGATGATGATGAATGTGATTTCATCGAAACGTCGCTATGATACTTCTAATCTTACACGGGAGAAAACCCGAATGACCAAAGACTCACATATAAACACCCGTGAAAACCTCAAAAAACATGCCTCCTTCTTAAGGCTTCAGAGAGAGTGACTGGCTCAAGGTCACCCAGCTGACTTTGTGAAACTTACAGTCTCCTGCTTTCTAACCTCATTCCTTAGCAGTTAGCACTAGCACTTAGACTTATATACCGCTTCACAGTGCTTTACAGCCCTCTCTAAGCGGTTATATTAACCCCAACAATCTGGGTCCTCAGTTTACCGACCTCGGAAGGATCGAAGGCTGAGTCAACCTTAAGCCAGTGAGAATCGAACTGCTGGCAGCCGGCAGTGAGCAGAAGTAGCCTGCAGTACTGCATTCTAACCACTGCATCATCACGGCTCATTCCTTAATATAGTTCAAACTGGCTCTCATATATAGGAATAGTTTATGTGAAAGTGTTAATACCATCTGAGTAAAATAATGTACGTAGGTTTGTATTTAAGTTACATTGCCCATAATAATAAGAAATCTTTACCTTACAGCTTCAGAAAATGCTAGTTTTCTGCTTATCTACCTGAAAAAAATTATTAGCATGTGTGCAAGTACATATAAATTCACTCCTCCTGCAGTGAAAGCTATCTTAATGTGACATATTTAAATTTGTATTCGGGCCAGTTTTTATAATCTATTTTGCGGGTGTCATTAAGTGAATGCTACAATTATAAAGTGAATGGCATGGTCATTCAGCAAGTGCCATAGTCATTAAGCAAATCCATTGTTTGCTATGGACCAATTTTTGCGAAAAACTGGAAGTAAACACCAGTTTCTGGCAAAAACATCATAAACCATGGTCATATATGGTAACACCAGTGCTGCAAACAGCCATAAAGGAGGGCTACTTGCTGAGTGCCTATAATGCAACCACATGGCTTTTTGTTTTGGGGGGGCAACATAGGAAGTTTGAAACTGGGTTGTAAATCCCTTGTTCGGAAGAGTCTGTCATAACTTCAGATGGTCGTTAAGCAACCGGTCGTAAGTCAAGGATTACCTGCATTCAGTTGCAAGTGAAAGCTCTTCAACAATCCATGATATTCTCCATCTCTTTCGTTTCCTTTCCCTTCGTCATTGCCCAGAATATATTGTAGCTGTGAATTGTGGATAGACTTGAATAATGCATGGTGTAGTAGTTATGCTGTTGGGTGGGGAGCTAGGACTGGGGTTCAAATCCACCTCAGCTATAGAAACCTATCAAGTGACTGTCAGCCAATAGTTATCACTCAGATCAATCTGCCTCACAAGTGGGGGAAATTGGAGAAAGTACTGCTGTGTGAATTGCTTTAAGCTCCTCAGGAGAATCACAAGATATAAATATGTGGCTACAGTACATTAATTCTGGCTGTCCTGTCTCTGCGTTAGCAGTTGTCTTAATTAATTGTACTATCATGCACTGAAAAGTAAGGCAAATATTGACATTCAGAAGTATAGGAAGAAGGATTGGGAGTTGCTAGCTTTTTAAGTTCCTGATTGCACAAGATGACTTGGTACCATCCTGTGCTTTCTCTTTGTTCAGCTGGGTTGGGAAATTGCCAGTGTAAGCCCATTTTGTTATGTAATCACAGCAACATCTTCTTCTTTTTGAATGCCGAGATATATAAATCTGCTAGTGTAAGCCAGTGTAGGAATAGGCAAACTTTTAAGACTTTTGTTTAAAGAAAAAAGAAAAAAAAGAACAGCAACACATTTCTTGGTATTATGGAATATTGTTTTTAGCAATATTCTCTCAAAGTAACTTTTTTTTTAAAAAAAATCTTTATTGAGAATTTTTACCTGAATAAAATAAAAATAAATACATAAAAGAAGGAAAGAAAAAGAAAAAAATTGCAGGAATCAAAACTATTAAAAGGAAAAAAAAATGAAGGGAGTAGTGACCACCATTACAGCAGCCACAGTCAAAGCTGTTATCCCTCCTCTCTCTTAAACATAATCCCTTGGTCCTCTTATTCAACACATTTTAAATTATCCAGCCTAAAAACAAACATTTTAGCTCTTTCCATTTTCAGCCAAAAAGGTCAGCATTCCACAAAGTTCCTTGTTTATTTGATCTTCCATTGTGAAAATTTCAATATAACTCCATTGTATAGACATGTGATGTTCTTCTGGCTGATCGAATAGTATTTTCTTCTATGAATTCTTTCTGTCATATGCAACTATATTTTTCTGGTGTGATTCAATCATTGTCTCCTCCCTTGTATAACTTTCACTCCCTTTAATAATACATTTTTCTTTATTTCAAATTTGTAATCTATAAGAAGGGAGTATTCTCAGCATTCTTAACAAAATTAAACACTTAACATTGGGAGTGTATTATTTTCTTCATGCTGCGTTCACACGTAGTGCTAAACCAGGATATTTTCACATGGCTTGTTGAATAAGCCACATTATATCCACAATGGTAAATGAAAAAAAGTGGGTTCATGTATTTGCCTTCATGTTGCTTGTGCTGCCTTGCAAATTAGCAAAGTTAAAATGATACTGAACGTTCATTTCTGCAAATGCTTTGAATATATGAACGATTGTTCTTTAACAGGAGGAAAAGAATTCACCTCCATGGTTGAAATATTAAGATATAATTTGAGGAGAGTCCACCGAAGGATAAAATGGGTCACAGTTGGGCACTGGTATAACATAAAAATAATTATGCTAGATGAATAATTCATCTATTCTACTAGTTCTAATAAAAGAGAAAAGGAAAGGAAAATAAATCAATTCCCTTGGAATAATTCTTATTTGAATTATCGTCTTCTAAGTTTAGGAGAATTTAAACTATTACAATTTGACAAAAAATAGTGCTACTTACTATACTAACGTAAATGTTACCAGTAATCAATCTTTACTTGGAGAGAAAAAAAAACCTGTATTTAATCTAATTGGATGTTCTTTGATTTTTTTCTAATTAGACATTTTAATTAGTTTGATTCTGCTAGCAGATCAACTGCTTATCAAGACATGAATTGATAGTGCTAAATATCAATATCCTTGGATCACTTATTAGTCACTCATTTTCATTACATAAGAACAAGTGGAAGAAATTAATTTTTTTTTTGTTCTCAAGGGAGTAATTCCCTGGTTACTGGGGCAAAAGGATTTTTTAAAAAAGATCATTTCATTATAATGCTTGCTTATGAAAAACCTGGCGGTTAGTGATATTGAGAATTTTGACAATGCAAGATAAAGCATATATCACTGTCAATTTATAATGCTGTGTTTCGTTAGCTTTCATGTATGTGGCTGTAAGTGACAACTTACAATTAATATGTGCATTTCCCCCCAATTATGTTAGCATTAGAAATCTGTGGGGGATAATATTCTAAAATGTTAAATGATGAATTTGGCCTAGGCACAAGTTTTATTTATCTATAAACTCACAAGCCCAGTCTGAGAGTCATTGTACCAAATGATATAGTATGCTAAATCAGGCTTCTACAACATGTTACCTTTTTGGTGTGTTGAGCTTCATTTCTGCCAGTCTCACAGTACTAACTGGGAGTTGTAGGCAACTTACCTCAAAACTCAAGAGTGAAAAAAG